CACAGATAATTTACCTCATCACCCTTCATTAGTAAAATTCTTTTATGTTAGCAGTAGACACTCTCCTCATTGATTGAGTTATTAAGATATACTTTGGCCATTATTTTCCTTAGTTCTCTTTGATATACATTGCTCTGCTGGAGTTGTTTCTTAAAAAATTGCGTTGGGCCACCAGGCTCTTTAAAAAAAAAGATTGCATTGCTCTGCCGAAGTTGTTTTTAAAAAAATTGCAATGCTCCGCCGGGGTCTTCTGTAAAAAAAATTGCATTTCTCCGCCGGGGTCTTCTCTAAAAAAATTGCATTACTCCGCCGGAGTCTTTGTAAAAAAAATTGCACTGCTCTAATGGAGCTTCATAGTATATATATATATTGCTCTAGACCAACACAGCTATTAGAAAAAGGTGTCCCCCATGCAAAAGTAATGTGTTTTTATTGGAAGGTCCTCTGCTTGTGTATCATATTCAGCTGTATTTGTGGGACCCATAATATATACAATAGTTAATGGAGGCTGCTTGGGTTCCAAAAGAATTGTTAAAAGTACATGTAGGTCTGCAATGGGTCACATTCATGGTGTTTAACTGACTTCTGCAACCTTATTGTTATGTGGAAGCATTGTAGTACATTTACAAGGTGCCCCACAATTTGAGCTGGCAGACGATGATATGCATCCTCCCCATGACAGTCCTCATGGTGTTTGAGTGGCTTCTGTGGCCCTATTATTATGTAAAATATTTATAGTATATTTACAAGGTGCTCCGCATTTTGCCCAAGGTGGGCCGCAATTTGCGCCGTCGGACAATGATGTGCATGCTCCGCAGGAGTCGCTGTCAGGGAGAAGTACGGCTGCCTCAAGCTGATGGGTGATTGTAACGATCACGGCTGTACCAATCACTAAGGGACAGTTTAGAAAACCGGCCGGTCTGGCTGGGCTCATGTTACATGAGTGGTTGTCACATCCGGTTACTACATTAGGTATGGGACATGATGACTAACATATGTGTTTTCGCGATGATCTTGTCCATCCACTTTGTATCGAGCTGTGCGAGGTCCAGAGGGTTTGGAAGGGGCATATCCAACGCGTTGCTCGTCTGCTCGTATGCTGTTAAGAGGGCCTGGTACAAGGTGGGGTCGCGCGATGATACAGAGTGTAGGTATACACTCCTAAAAATGCGAATTTTTAGCATTTTTACATACAAACCCTACAATACACTTAATAAAATTACAATGATCACAAGGATCAATGGACAAGCCCAGTCCAGTTGATTAAAGTATTATTCTGAGAAATGTGCAGTCTTGGTAGCAGAAATTGCAGTCGGTTCACAGACTGGGCCACTTCAATATGCTCGAAACCTATAAAAAGACAATACTACCATGAAATAGTGCACTAAAAGGGTGTTCTAGAGTAGAAACACCTCAGCACAGGGTGTTAGAAAATACACTAAACATGGGTTCTATTTTACACGGATTTAAAATGATTTTATTCAAGACAAGATGTGGAGGTGTGCAAACGCGACGCGAGCCAGACGCGAGAAGTCAGAGCGATCATGTGGTGAATATGGCGTGGGCACGAGCCGTGTAACCCATGTCTTTCACGCACCTCTGATATCACGTTACCATGGAAAGGCCTAAGGATATTCTTTGACTTCTATTAGAACGAAATAAAACTATTACTACTTGTAATGGATAACTTCCCATAAGGTCTAGAAACCTAGATTAAATTTTAAATGTTTGATGAGCGGACTTCGAAGATATATTTACAAATCTTTCTAAACCATAAGCCATGCAACACAGATCTACACATGCACAATCAATATTTTTTTCGGCAATGCATATCTCATCTTGGATCTCCCGACTTCCATTGGACTGAGTATGGACATCTCAGACAACCTTGCCCTCCTCCAGCTTCAATTGGCACAGAATGCAATGCGGCAGACTGATGAAGATTTTGAGGAAGACATCATCGTGTGCACCGGCCTGATCATATATGGTCTAGAGGAGGCACGCCGCCTACGCTCTGAAAGACGGTGTCTGCGAAGACTGTACTTGACACGTCCTGACCTCCTTCCAAACCCACGTCAAGATACACCATGGCAGGTCCTTTATGAGAGCCGGAACGATCGCGCGTTCATAACCACAATGGGATTCAATGTCACGACCTTTCACAAGATTTTGGATCACGGGTTCAGGGATTTATGGAACAACCAGGCGATTCCTCGCTGTGAAACCAATGCTGAGTCAAGGCCACGACTTGGTGGCCGATCTCTCAATGCTGAAGGCGCGCTCGGACTCGTTCTCCATTGGCTCAACTCGACTATGCTCGACGTTAGTCTGATGCAAATCTTTGCTCTTGTTCCTACTACAGTATCCCGATACATCACCTTTAGTTTATCAAACCTTCTTTTCACACTTCGTCGAATGCACGAGGCAGGCATTCGGTGGCTTGTCGGGGATGAGTTTCAGGAGAATAACGGTCTCATTGTGGATCGTCATCCACTTCTCAATGGTGCATTTGGCAGTATGGATGGCTTGAATCTACCTGTCCAAACATCACCGGACCAGGAGATCGAGAACACAACGTTCAATGGTTGGCTTCATGACCATTTTGTGAGCAGTGTGTTTGCTTTCAGTGCAAAGGGTAGGTCTCTTTCTGCATGTCACGCTGGTTCAGGCTGAAAACATTTATTTCAGGTGAGATCATCACATGTAACCTCAATGCTCCAGGTAGCTGGCACGATTCACGTGTTGCTCGCCCCATCTATGAGAAGTTACGAGCCCAGACACCAGAAGGTTACTATCTCGTCACTGATACGGCATTCCCTAGAGGAACCGATCAGATCGCAGGCCGTATCAGAGCTCCAATGAAAGACGGAGCTCGTCTCCCTCTCAACCGTTTGGAACGAGAGAGACTCCTTCAAGAAGACCGACAACTTTTGTCTTACAGGCAGACCGCTGAGTGGGGTATGCGCACCATTCAAGGTACCTTCGGCTGCTTACATGTACCTCTTCAAATCGCGTACCACGAAATTCGGGGTGATCTCCTCGAAACCTGTGCACGCTTGTTCAATCTCAGGGCACGAGATGTTGGTATCAACCAGATACGGTCCGTTTATATGCCAATTTGGAGGGAAGATGAGCAGGAAGAACTTTGGATGACTTTTGAGAGCATGTTGTTTTCGATGCAGAGAAAGAATGACCTGGTTGGACGTTTTCATATGATTGTAGTTGAATAATTTGCAACTCAGACTTGGATAGAAAGCAACAGGATAGATTGGCAAGTGACTACATTGGACGTGAGGAGGAGTGAAGTGTTCTAAAATATGTACACGTAAATTAAGATGATCAAAAGAAGCGGAATTGAACTACTTTGGAGCGTAAGGACTGTATTCTAGTGGACTGACTCGGAGATGAGCCTCTACACAACTACGTTGGGGAATGAGCGTGTGGTAGTCGAGATGGAGAAAATTATATACATGAATAACAATAGGACATGAATGGAAGAGGGTCCATGGTTGTGTGATACGGTGGTTAATCTTCTGCGCGTGCACGGGTAGTTAGGTCATCGGCATAGTGGCAATGAGGAGAAACGGTAAGTGAGATACCAACACGTGGTTGTAATTGAGGGGTGACAACAGCGTCGAAACCACCGCCCACAGCGAGATTGCCGGATGATTGTGAATTGTCGAAGCCAGATGCAGGTGGATTGTAAGGAGTTGGAGGCTGAATAGTCAGAGGGGAGACATCGCGATGACGGTGAGGCTTCCTGATGGGATCAACACTGTTGTCAGAATCATCGTCATCGTAGTATGTGATGCGACGAGTGCCAGGGCTGTCCTTGAAGCCCTGGACTTCATCCTGGTTGTCGTCAGATCCACCAATCCATCTGACAGACTTACCTCCACCAGCGTATGTTATTTCTTGACGATAGAGGCACTTGCGGGGTTGGGAGTGAACTTTGGAGTGGCGACGTGAACCTACCCGAGGAGCAAAGCCAGGGCTAAGGTCCTTCCGGGAGACCACTTGTGCACCACGTCTCTCTGTCATCATTTCGAGGAGCTCTGCACGATCTGCACGCCGCTCAGAAGCATTCCGCTGACGATCTGCTTCCATAAGCTGGTTTCGGAGATCGTCAGCGACCCGTTGAGCTTCACGAAGCTGGCTAGTAAGGGTGAAGATCTGGCCTGTCTGGAGAGCGTTGACGGAATGTTCTTCATTGCGAGCCCGTCGTGTGTCTGGGTCTAACACATTGGTGATGGTCGCAAGGAGGTCCTGACTTGTATTCCGAGCAGTATTTTGAGTGGCAATACAATCCGCAGGAGGGCGTCGAGCAATCGGAACTCGAGGTTTTTCAACCTTGACTTTCACATTAACTTGTTTAACATCTTCCTCGTTGGAAGTAATGATGATGGCATCACTAGCGTCGACGATATCCTCGTCGTCAAGGTCGCGAGAGCCAGCCTTCTCGCTCATGAGCATCTCAATTTCATGTGCACGCTGAATGTGAGGGGGGCATTCAGCATTGCCTGTTGGCTTTGACGTTTTGACCAGCTGGTGTAAACATGTCAATACGGACCCCATAAAAATTCGATATGATGCTTGCCTGCTTGAACTTCAATTCCAACGATTTAGTGGTGTGTGCTGGACGGCCATTCTCCTCAGCCCATTGATTGTAATCGTCCGCAGCCGAGTTCCATGCTTTCCCACCAAGTGGTAGGTGCTCCTCGAGGATGTCGAACAGTCCATCAAGATCCTCAGAGACATAGTTGGCGGCACCGGTTGCACGACCTCTAGGCTTCTTCACATCTGCACATTGAGGTGTGGGAGTGGATAATTTGCGCTTTTGGCTTCCCGAACCTGAAGGGACTGGCAGGTCGATGGCCTTCTGCTTACCCTTGCCCTTTGGTTCGGAACGGCGGACACCAGCGACTTTACTGGCAGGACGGGCCATCCTTCCGAGAAGGAGATGAGGGGAAGGAAAGTCATCATTTTCGTCGTCGGGAAGAGGGATGCAAGTGGGCTCGGCTGCTGGAAATGAGCTTCCTGATGCATTCGGCTGTGCATGGCCAAAGTTGTGAGGGACGTGAGGGGCGTGTGTACGCTGACTGACAGTCAGTGGTATTATGGGTGAAACAGATTAGAGCTACCTGGTGGGTATCCATGGAATGGGCAGGAAAATCGTACTGAATGTCTGGTGCGTAACCCGAACCCTACGTTGCGAGGTGATTAGGGCTGAGGGGTTGGGAACTAAATCGAATGACATACATTAGGGCGCTGTTGCATACCACCACCAACAAATCCATCACGAAAGCTTGGTAGCTGTAATTGAATCCTTCCGATAAGATCAATTATGAGTATTCAATTTCGCCCTTACCTGGAATTGAGGGCTACCTGGGGGGTTCATGGGGCCCCATTGAGCACGTCCAACGAAGTGAGAAGACTGGTGGCTACCACTTTTATCTATAACCTAGACTTAAGCCTAGAGGGTCATTTCTATAACTTAGACTTAAGCCTAGAGGCCATATGTATAATGCTTAGGATTTTTTGAAAGGCATTTCAAATGTAGGCCTGTGTATTTCATAGTGAATTTTCCATAGATACCCAGCGCATTTTCTGTGAAATTTCAAATGCAGCCCTGGATATTTCATTGCGATTTTTCAATAGATACCCTGGGCATTTCATTGCAATTTTTCAAATGTATCCCTGGATATTTCATTGCAAAATTTCAATGGATGCCTGGCGCATTTCATTGCGATTTTTCAATAGATACCCTGGGCATTTCATTGCAATTTTTCAAATGTATCCCTGGATATTTCATTGCAAAATTTCAATGGATGCCTGGTGCATTTCATTGTGATTTTTCAATAGATACCCTGGGCATTTCATTGCAATTTTTCAAATGTATCCCTGGATATTTCATTGCAAAATTTCAATGGATGCCTGGTGCATTTCATTGTGATTTTTCAATAGATACCCTGGGCATTTCATTGCAATTTTTCAAATGTATCCCTGGATATTTCATTGCAAAATTTCAATGGATGCCTGGTGCATTTCATTGTGATTTTTCAATAGATACCCTGGGCATTTCATTGCAATTTTTCAAATGTATCCCTGGATATTTCATTGCAAAATTTCAATGGATGCCTGGCGCATTTCATTGCGATTTTTCAATAGATACCCTGGGTATTTCATTGCGATTTTTCAAATGTATCCCTGGGCATTTCATTGCGATTTTTCAAATGTATACCTGGGTATTTCATTGCGATTTTTCAATATGATACCCTGGGTATTTCATTGCGATTTTTCAAATGTATTCCTGGGTATTTCATTGCGATTTTTCAAATGTATTCCTGGGCATTTCATTGCGATTTTTCAAATGTATCCCTGGGTATTTCATTGCGATTTTTCAAATGTATCCCTGGATATTTCATTGCAAAATTTCAAATGGATTCCTGGGCATTTCATTGCGATTTTTCAATAGATACCCTTGGTGATTTTTCAAATGTATCCCACATGTCAGGGTCCATGCAATGGGCTTCTCTGGAGGGTGGTCACATGACCAATTACCAAAAATGGTCAAAAACGAAAGTTGTAGCCCTACACTGTAGCTTCCCAAATCTGTTTGAATTATGTTCTGAAGTGCTCCCGTTGTGGAGATATGAGGTAAAGGAATTTCAAAAGCATCGCGTTTTTTTTTTTTTTTGTGTTTTTCTCTATGAAAACAAAACCAAATAACATGATTTCAGTATATTCAGAAAGCTAAAAGAAAGGGCTACAATTGTGGTATCATGGGAAAAATGACCAAAAAAGGAAGGTGCATCCCCTACTATCAGAATCAGATATAGGCTACCAAGTTTACTGATAGACTACAAAAAAGTCGGACTTAGACTACACAGTTTACTGATACACTATAAAAGACTACAAAAGTCGAAATGAGACTACAAAGTTTACTAATACACTACAAAAGTCGAACTTAGACTACAAAAGCGTGGATGTAGACTACATAGTTAGGATTAGAGTCAAAAGGTTATCTTGACTACAAAGTTTGTAGTGTGCGCTTTTTCATTAAAAAAGTTTGTAGTGTCCGTTTTTTGAGACTACAAAAGTTGTAGTGTTGCGCTTTTTCATTAAAAAAGTTTGTAGTGTCCGCTTTCTGAGACTACAAAAGTTTGTAGTGTTGCAGCTTTTTCATTAGAAAAGTTTGTAGTGTCCGCTTTTTGAGACTACAAAAGTTTGTAGTGTGCACTTTTTTATTAGAAGAGTTTGTAGTGTCTGCTTTTTCATTTAAAAAAGTTTGTAGTTGACATGTAGTTTATGGTGTCCTTGGCCCTATCTATGTTATGGGGATGAGGCTGAAGGATTGCCATCAGATTGCCAGTGCTGCAGCATTAGTACTTGACAGCTGCACAAGTTGTCTTTCACATTAGGAAAGGCCATTCTATGTCTTTCATATTGATACCTACTGTCCTATCTCAAGACATAATTGTAAGCTCATATGGGGATATGGCTGAAGGATTGACATGACTTTACATATTGCTATTGCCACATCATCAGTTCCTCACATCATGCCCAAGTTGGCTTTCAAGCTAGAGAAGGCTATTCATGTTGATATCTACTCAATACATGGTCAACTTACAACATGACCTGTCTTCAAGACACCTCAAAGGATGAATCAGCCCATCATCCTACAGCCCTCAAAGACCTGTATCAAAGTTGACTATGTTTGGGACAGGCCAGTAGTTATCAATGTGAAAGCAGACAGCATAAAAGGCAAACTTGGTCATGATGTCAAAAACTGGTCATGTCATGTCAATGAGCTTACAATTATGTCTTGAGATAGGACAGTAGGTATCAATATGAAAGACATAGAATGGCCTTTCCTAATGTGAAAGACAACTTGTGCAGCTGTCAAGTACTAATGCTGCAGCACTGGCAATCTGATGGCAATCCTTCAGCCTCATCCCCATAACATAGATAGGGCCAAGGACACCATAAACTACATGTCAACTACAAACTTTTTTAAATGAAAAAGCAGACACTACAAACTCTTCTAATAAAAAAGTGCACACTACAAACTTTTGTAGTCTCAAAAAGCGGACACTACAAACTTTTCTAATGAAAAAGCTGCAACACTACAAACTTTTGTAGTCTCAGAAAGCGGACACTACAAACTTTTTTAATGAAAAAGCGCAACACTACAACTTTTGTAGTCTCAAAAAACGGACACTACAAACTT